ATCTGTCAACTCGGTAATACAATTGTAATTAAATTTGCAATATTAGCGTAGAATTTTGATAATATATAGTAAATTATAAAATAAATTATAGAAAGCAATGAGAATGTTTTCTAAGCATCTCTCAATTCTCTCTCGGGAAAATAAGTGTAATTAAATTTGCAATATTAACATAGAATTTAGTTAGATAAATTTAGATAAAAATTATACAAAATTATAGAAAGCAACTAGAATTTTCGCTAAGCATCTTCCAATTACATAATCCAGACGTGATCGAATTCTTAACATTTTAGTCGAATTTAGTTAGATAATACACAGAAAATTATAAAATAATCGAGAAAATATACCGAATTGGTTGTAAATGATTAAAATGACTCTCCTTCCGTGAAACGAAGTTTCAAAAAACAAATCTGTTTATTTTTCACGATGCGAATCGTCGCCCTTTAAATAGAATTTAAATGCTTTCCGACATTTCTCGAACCAAGTTCGTGATCGCTGCGGTACATTCTCGAGTGACAGGTAGTCTTTCGTGCATAGGCCACCAGACATTAAAGGCTAATATTGAGGCCGTTCACCCGATTGTTTCGTTCTATCAAATACGGGGTCAAAGGCAAGCATGCCATACCTTCGTTACTGTATACCAACAATCATTACCATTTCGATCTTAATCCTTTATCTTCCGGACGCGCTACAAAGAAACACAGGAGGGAAAATCGATGATCGCTTAATTAATTGATTATATTATTATTATTGTTATTCGCGATATTTACGATAATCCCGAGAAATTCATTCATTCGTTTCTGCAACGGATAATACGGCCCAGTCTGCTGGGGGCATAACGACAGATAATTTCCTTCGGTTTGATACATAAGTTGATGCACCCGGTTCATCCCGCAAAAATGCATTCGGGCTGCGTGGCTGCGCCTCTCGGAGGGGATCTGGCAGAGAATAGGCAGTGCTAGGGGTACCCGTGCTGGCCAATAGGAGACGCTACAATGTGTGCCGGACCAATCGAGGAGCCGGTGAAAACCATGGCTCTTGGGGCGGGAGTGCTCACATCGTATAAATTGCTGCTAGACTGATACGTCCTTTTCAGTCGCAGGTTGACAACCGTTCTGCCACGCTCGTAAACGTATTTATTTACAAATAAAGAAGAGAAAAAAGAGGCAGAATCAGAGTGCATTGTCGGCGCCAGTGGGAATCACATTTTTCCTTATGCGAGCACGGACTAAACATCGACAGTGGAAACAGTGATAAAAACGAAACAGTGATTACGACGACGCAGTGAACAGGTTCACCTGCGAACCGCGACCGCGAATACAGTGGGAGCATGCAGGGCTACCAAAGGAACTACGAAGGTCAGCAGAGAGATCAAAGGGATGATGAGACTATTGTCGTGGACCTCGTGGCACCGCAATATCAACTAAGCCCTCCTCATAGTCCGCCGTCGGGGAATTTGTCGAAGACGCCTGAGAAAGGTACGTACACCTCTTTCCTTCTTCATAAATAACTTCCGTTCCGTTCTAACGACCTTTCGTTCCATAAATTTATTTCATTGTGACGTCGGAAGTTATTTACATGATTTTATAGACATTTACGAGGCCGTTGGAAGCCGCAACTGGTTCCTTTGTATTTACATTTACATGTATATAAATGTATACATATATATTGGATGTATTGTAAATGTGGTAAATATTGTATATATTGTATATATATTGTAAATATGGTAAATATGGTAAATATTGTATATATTGTATATATGTTGTATATATGTTGTATATATTGTATATATCGTATATACAATGTACAACATATTTTATACATGATCATATATATTAAATATCGTACATACAAGGAATATAGTTATAAACAAAAGTCGTCGCTAATAATCACTGTAGTTGACGAGACGTTAAACCTCGCGTAAAAAAGGAGAGAGAAAAGAATGATAAAATAACAAAAGTCGATCTGATGCAACATACCGTCGGCCGCGCGATAAGAAAGCAAAAACTGCGGCGTGGTCCTTGAAGGATTAAAAGAGAAGAAAGATCATTCCATTCAATTCCTGTTTCATGCAATTGATGCGGGCAACTTTTATTTCGCATAAAAGTCTGCGGTCTATTTATTAAGATCACGTCTTCATTGAAAATACTCGTTATAAACTCGGGGATGAAAATAATGACACCCTGCTTCCTGTAACGAAGTTCGCTACAGAAACCTTGCTCGAAAATCAGAAAAACAACCAGTCTGTGGAAAACGTATTCCCTAGGGAGTCAGAGAGGGAAATAAAATAATTTGTGCCGTTTGTAAAACAACAATAACAGCCGGTCGATAATTGAGGGAAGACAAGGGTAACACTAGAAGTACGAGCGGCCACTGACCGAAGGTCCAAGTTCGTCGCTACGCTTGCGAGCAATGGATAGGGTTTTAAATGCAATAAATCATCTCTAATTGGTCGGGCTTAATTGCGGTTAGGTCTAGATGAGTAGAGAAGTAAGCATGCCATTGGTCGAAGATTTCAGTTCGCTCCGGTGCATGTAAGGGTTGTCGGTGTAATAAATGTCACAAACATAATTGCGGTTTCGTTGGGTCGATGACTGCATGACTTTCAAGCTAGAACGAAATTACGGAGTTTTAAATCGGCGAAAGGTAACGAGGATCATCGCCGAACTTTAAACCGACCGCTCAACGTCCGGCCATAAAGGTCGCGCTGGTCTAGGCATAGAGTTCTGCGATTAGTACCTGACGATGCTTCCCTCCGAATACAGGTCTGCTAGGATCGCGCTATGATTCTTTGAGCACTTGTCCTATGATCCTTTGCTCCCTTACACTATGATCCTTTACAGCCTGCACTGTGATCGTTTGCGCCCTGCTCTGCGATTCTTCGCACCCTGCGCTGCGATTCTTTGCGCCCTACGCTATTAATTTTTGTGCTCTTGCACTGCAATTCTTTGCACCCTGCGCTATGATGCTTTGCGCCCTACACTATGAATCTTTGCGCACTTGCGCTGCTATCCTTTGCGCCCTTGCGCTGCGATTCTTTGCACCCTGTGCTATGAATCTTTGCGCACTTGCGCTGCTATTCTTTGCGCCCTACGCTGCAATTCTTTGCGCTCTTGCACTGCGACTCTTTGCACCCTGTGCTATGGAATCTCTGTGTCCTTGCGCTGCTATTCTTCGCACCCTGCGCTGCGATTCTTTGCACCCTACACTGCGATTCTGATAATGCGTCGAGTTTCTTATTGTCTCGGTTCATCCATAAATTGAAAAAGAACTCTGTCGCATCTCCTCTCCCCAAATTGTCCATTTCATCCCTTTCTGTTTCCGTTTTGCTTAACGTTAAACGTCGCATCGACCTTCAGGTCATACTGTCCATTATTGCCTTGCAAGCCGAGGGACATTTGAAAGGGATTTATTGTATCGCGTTTACGGACGGATCGAGGAGCGATTAGCACGGCCCGGAACACAATTGACCCGTCGAGCTCATGGTTGAACTGGAGCAGCAGCGCGACGTCGTGAACGCGTCGGCCGAATTACCGACAGTTTTGCGAGCTTGATCGCTAAGAAAACGGTTGATCCGACGATGCATGTTACAACTAATACAACTAATATCGCCATAAGAATTTATTTACCACCGTTGATCCGGTGGTGCGAGGCGAGGGGATGAAGGGTTGATCCGGATTTAACTAACGGTGATTGGGCACTTTTCCTTTGCAGGATAAGCGATTGAGGTTAATGATTTTATGAAAGCTGTGCCGAAAGCAGCAAATCTCCGTTTATTGCCGAGCATTGCTCGCTCCCTTGCTTTTGTCAACGAAACGAACCCCTAAAAAATACCGTGCGCAGTTAAATTTTTTTAACGATCTAAACCCTTAGCGATTATTGCACCCCTCAAAAGCCGGACGGTTAACTTTATATAAAAAGAAAAAAAAATCGAGGACCGGACGATCCGCTTTTCCGAGATAAGGCTCTCATCCCGAGGCTGGCAGACCGGAGAAAATCGGGCCGAAAGGGGGCCGCTGAAAGGGATCCAGGTGAGGTCCATGCGGCCCACCGGGAACCTTTCAGACTACCCCCGGTCTTTCATCTCGCCTACGCCAGCCGGAATGCGATCGCCCGCTGCTCCACCGTCGGCGGCAATGCGTGTGTAACCGCGTCCTGGCAAACAGGCCGCCGCGAACCCGGGGCCTTTCCGCAGAGGAACAGTTTTGTCGTGACAAATTGCGGTGTCGCCGCGACCGCCTTCCTAAAAGGCCGCTTCTCCAACGGCGGAGACCGCAGAGGGCCCGGCGTTGCTCGATCCTCTTAACCGTGTGGATCGTGTTCGATTTGCAGACAGTTCACCGACGCAGCAGCAACAGCAGCAACCGTTGTCTTCTATGGACCCGAACATCAGGAGGTACCGGACCGCATTCACCAGGGAGCAATTGTCGCGACTGGAGAAGGAGTTTCACAGAGAGAATTACGTGAGCAGGCCGAGAAGATGCGAACTCGCTGCCCAGCTACACCTGCCCGAGTCGACGATCAAGGTGTGTACGGACGGGTTTAATTACACCGCGGCCAATTAAGGAACCGTTTCGTCCGAGAACGCGGCACACTCTGTGTTTGCCGAGAACGCGCGGCAAACACGCGCGGCAAAGTTCAGTAAACACAGTGACCTCGTACGGTACGGGACCCGAGCGCGTAGAAAAGTGTTCTATTAACACCTCGGACTGTTTAATTAATGCCGGTAATCGACGCTCGCGCGGCAACAGGGACGGGGGGAGGAAAGCCTTGGAGTATGTTTCACTTTTCGGTTGCGCAACCGTCTCGAGAACCGCGCCGGGGCCCGTTCTCGTCTCCGATAGATCCGCGAAAGAGGATCGCAAGAAGCTCTCTCGGGGCCTGTGTCCGTCGACGGGGATCCAACGGGGATCCGTGGTTTTTCGCCGTGCGTTTTTTGCCGACGCCGCCATGCTTGATCGACCGATTATAGCTCGGCGAAGAGAGGAGGAGACTTCGCCGGCACCCGAGGCACCCGGAGATTCCTCTCGTCTCGCTCTGTCTCTCTTCGCTCCTTGCCGCTCGATTCGCGTTCTCTCTCTCTCTCTCTCTCTCTCTCTCTCTCTCTCTCTCTTCTCTCTCTCT